GGGGGCCCCCCAGGGGGCCCCCTTGGGGGGCCCCCAGGGGGGCCCCCTGCGGGCCCCCCAGGGGCCCCCCTGAGGGCCCTTTGATGTCTTGGGGGTCCCCAGGGGTCCCCTTGACCTCGCAGGGGCCCCCCACCGCTGCTGCGGCTGCTCCCATTGCTGCTGCTGCTGCTGCTGCTCCTGCTGCTGCTGCTGCTGCTAATCCCTGAGGGGGCAAAGACTCTACATAAAGGGAAGGGCGGGAGACAGCGACAGAGGCGTGGGCGTTTCTGCCGAAGGGGGCTAGCCTGCGCACACGCTCCAAACCCTAAACCCTAAACCCTAAACCCTAAACCCTAGGCCAGAGTTCCAAAACCTTAAACCCTCCGCGACGCTGTCTGCTGCTGCTTCGAATCAGTACTCGCTGCAGAGGCAGCAGCTCACTGCAGAACTCCGGGCGCGATTTGCGTGTCTTCGCCTTGCTGCTGCTGCTGCTGCTGCTGCTCCTGGGCCGCCTTCGCCGGGTCTTCTCTGTAGATAGGAGCAGCAGCAACTGAGGGGCCCCCTGCTGCTGAGGTGGGCATAGACCCCAGGGGCCTCATTGCCTCAGGAAGCACTTGCTGCTGCTGCTGGGGGGGCCCCCCAGGGGCCCCCTGTTCTTCTGCTGCTTTGTGACGTTTTGCTGCTGCTTCGTTGTCTGCTGCTTCTGCTTCTCTCTTGGGGGCTGCTGCTGCTGGCTGCGCAGCAGCAGCAGCAGCCGCGGGGGCCCCCACGCCCCCGGGGGCCCCCTGGAAATCCTCGCTGGGGGCCCCCGGGGGGCCCCCCTCCTCTTTACCCTCTTGGGTAGAAACCATCAAAAAAACCAAGTTCGTAGCGGGGCTATGAAGAAGGTTCGGGGGCCCGACGCGGGGCGCCAAACCCTAAACCCTAAACCCTAAACCCTTGGAAGACCCCTCGGGTCTGGGGAGCTGCGCTTCGGGCTAAAGACCCTCCAGAAGCATTTGTTAAACATTAAAACTTTAATTAATCAAATAAAGTCTGGAGATCAGTCCAAAAGTCCGTAGGCGGCGGCGCTGAGTGCTGCTGCTACTGCGGGCACTGCAGCAGGGCTGAACGGCTGCGGTGGGCTACGGTGGGGCTGGGGGGCAAAAGTGGAAATAAAAAGAAATAAAGAATTAAAAGTAATAAAACTGCATTTTAATTCTTCTGAAGAACGGCGGTTTGCATTCGGAACGAAGAACGACGCGGGCTTGCCGGGGTGTACAGACACCCCAGAACGCCACCCCCGTCCTGTCGGCATCGCTCGACAGAAAGCGCCAACAAGTGCATCATTAAGTATTTAAAATTGAAACAAAAAGTATTTTTTATCTCAATAAAGTCTATTAATTTGCTGCTCAGCCTCGAGCCACGAAGTTCTCCCCCGGATCTGCAAACCCTGCAGAACCCCGCGGCCGCACCTACGGAAAGCTAGGGTTTACGAAACACCCAGAGCTCCAGCACACTTTAAACCCTAAAAAGGGTTTATATATGTGCTGCGCTGCAGCGAGGCAGCAAAGCAAATGTCCTAAACCCTAATTTGCTGCTGCCAGCTGCAGCAGCAGTTAGTAGCGCCCCCGCCCCCCAGGGGCACTCGCTAGCTTCAGCTAGCTACCCACGGCCGCTGCAGCTAGCCATAGCCGCTGCAGCTAGCCATAGCCGCTGCAGCTAGCCATAGCCGCTGCGGCTAGCCACATCTGGCTGTGGCAAGCCGCAGCAAGAGCTAGCTAGAGCTAGCCAGCCCTCCTCCCAGCCAGCTGCAGCTAGCCGCAGCTAGCTGCAGCTAGCTAGCCGTGGCTAGCCGTAACTAGCTGCTGCAGCTAGCTGCAGCTAGCTAGCCGTAGCTAGCTGTAATTAGCTGCTGCAGCTAGCTGCAGCTAGCTAGCCGTAGCTAGCTACAACTAGCTGCTGCAGCTGGCCCCGGCTAGCTAGCTAACTACAGCCAGATACAGCCAGCTACAGCTACCTACAGCTAACTACAGCTAGCTAGCCGTAGCTAAGTGCAACTAGCTGCTGCAGCTAGCTGCGGCTAGCTAGCTAGCCACAGCCAGCTACAGCTAGCTGTAGCTAGCTACAGCTAGCTACAGCTAGCTACAGCTAGCTACAGCTAGCTGCCTTTTTGGTCAGAGTGCCTTTTGAGTGGTACCGCTCCCGGCGAAGCTTCAGAGCTAGCCAGAAGTTAAATAAAAGAAAGTAAATTAAAAAGAAAATAAAAGACATAATTAATTTAATTTAAAAAAATAAAATCAAAATTAAAAAAATGATTTAATAAAATTTAAAAAAATAAATCAAGATGGCCCGAGCGACGCACAGCAAAAATATTCAGTCATTTAGCTGCGGGCAAGAGGCTTGTGAGCAGCAGCAGCAGCAGCAGCAGAAGCAGCAGCAGCAGCAGCGGCAGCAGCAGCAAATGCGTTGCCTACGTTAGTCTCAGCTGCACTACGGGAGCCGCAGCAGGAACTGCAGCGCGAGCAGCAGCAGCAGACCCAGCAGCAGCAGCCAGCAGCAGCAACAAAATAAAAATCTGGAAATTAAAAATAAATGTACTTTATTTTATAACTTTTACTTCTTTTACTATTTTAAAAAGTTTAAGTCTAGTGCATGCAAAGAAGAAATAAAAATGCAATTAAATGGAAATTAAAAATAATAAATAAAATTAAATTGTTATTTTAAAACTGAAATGAATGAAAAATTAATTAAATGAAGTGTAGAAAAACAAAGAAATTCCGAAAAGACTTTTGCTGCCTGCTGCTGCTGCTGCTGCAGATAAAAGGAACCAGTAGCTGCTGCAAAAGATAAATTTAAATATAAATTAATTTGAAATAAGATAAAACAAATATAAACTAATTTGAAATAGAATAAATAACTATAAATTAATTTGAAACACAATAAAATAAATTAAATTAATTTGAATTAAATAAATTAAAAACTTTATTAAATTTCATATTTTAGAACTTAACACACTGCAGCAGCAGCTGCAGCGCAGCAGCCGCTGCAGCGCCGCAGCAGCTGCAGCGCAGCAGCAGCAAACTGGAGCCCCCTGAACGAATGTAAATCTTTTGGTTTTAAATAAATATTTATTTTATAATTATTTTATTAAAAATAAAAGTTTTAATAGCCAGAAAATATTTATTTCCCTTTTAATAAAAGTGAAAATAATTACTTTTTGAAAAGTAAAATAAATTTTTCGTTTTTAATTTTTGGGGCTTTTTAGAGCGCATGCAATTCCAAATTACTTCAAAAGAATATTTTCTGAATTTGCAATTATTTTGAACTTCAAAAAAGAAATTAAAAAAGAAAAAATCAGAAACTTCTTTTCCTGCAGTACTTTTATTTTTATTTTATTTCCCTCATGGGCTAGTCCCTAGCAGCCAAAAAACTGCTGCAGCAGCATCTTTTGCTGCTGCAGCAGCACCGTTTGCTGCTGCAGCAGCATCTTTTGCTGTTGCAGCACTCGCGCTGCAGCAGGCCTTTTACCAGCAAAGGCCCGAAGCTGCAGCGGCAGCAAAACATTGCTGCTAACTTGCTGCTGCAGCTACTGCAGCTTTGAGAGCCCTCTACGGCTCTCTCTGGCGCCAATCACTCAAACCCTAAACCCTAAACCCTAAACCCTAAGAACCGTGGCCGGCAGCGGCGTTTACAAAATGCTTCTTAATCTAATAAGCCACTTTTGAGGCCCCTAAGGCAGTTTGCTGCAGAGCCTTTCGGGAGCTCACGGCTGCCCGCTGAAGGCACAGCTGGAGCAGCAGCAGCAGCAGCAGCGGCAGCAGCAGCAGCAGCTGCTGCTGCTGCTGCTCCTAGGGCACACACGATCAAGAGCAGCTGCAGAGCAGTGTTGCACGTTTCCAGCTCTCTCTGCTTCGCAGCTAAAGCCTAGCTGCTGCTGTTTCTGTTGCTGTTGCTGTTGCGCTTGCTGTTGTTGCTGCTGCTGCTGCTGCTGTGGAAGCTCACATTGATACTGCACACTGCAGCACCGTCTCAGGCCATCTTCTAGCTTGAGCTGCTTTAGCGGCTACTGGTGGCTGTGGGTCTAGGGTTTAGCGTGTAGGGTTTAGGGTTTAGGGTTTAGGGTTTAGCAAGAAAAGCTTGAAGAGTTAGGGCCTGCTGCAGCGCAAGGCACTGCCCGCTGCTGTATGCTGTTTTGGTGCTGCTGCTGCAGTTGCTTCCCTTCGAAGTCGCTGCAGCATCTGGATCGCAGCAGCAGCAGCGTCAACAGCAGCAGCAGCAACCTCAGTAACAGCAGCAACAGCAGCAGCAGCAGCAGCAACAGCAGCAGCACGCTCACATGCACGTACACCTCAATTATTCGCACACTTGCACACCCAGCTACAGAAAATCTTCCAAAGACTTCTTAGAATGCAAATTTATATTTTTAAATGTAGAATCAGTTACTGCTATTCATTGCTGCTGCTGTTCCTGCTGCTGCGACGGGCCGGTGACCGCGCAGCAGCGGCTGCTGCTGCTGCTGCTGCTGCTGTTGCTGCTGCTGGGATCCAGCAGCAGCAGCAGCAGCCGACACATGCTGCCGCTCCCCTCGTTCTTTCGCGTTATCCGTTCTCTTTATTTTGATGTTGTCTTTTGCTGCGGGAACCTAGGTAACAGCAGCAGCAACAGCAGCAGCAGCGCAGGCAGCAGCAGCAGCAGCAGCAGCAAAACAGAAAGGCGAAATAGCGATCCTCTCCCCAAGTTGCCGCTTCTGTTTGAGTAGCAGCAGCAAGGAGCCATTTGCTTCTCAGAAGCCTGTTTCAGCTGTTTCAGCTCTTATCCGCTTGCATGTGCAGCAGCAGCAGCAGCAACTGCAGCAGCAGCAGCCGCAGCAGCCCTAGCGATAGCGACAGCCGCAACAGCAGCAGCAAGAGCAGCAGCTGAAGCTCCTCTTTCGTTCCGCAGCAGACAACCAGCCTTCCGGCGTGCCTGGGCTTCTCGGACTGGCGCAGCAGCAGCAGCAGCAGCAGCAGCAGCAGCAAGCCACTTGCTGCGCATGCACCGGCACAGCAGCAAAGGAGCGCTGTCCCTCTCAAGCAGGAGCAGCAGCAACAAGAGTATCAGCAGCAGCAACAACTGCAGCAGAGACATGCGGATGCGACCTTTGCTGCCCCGCTCTGTCTAGCCTACGTCTGCAACAGCAGCAGCAGCAGCAGCAGCAGCAGCAGCAACAGCAGCAGCGACAGCAGCCTTTTAGAACCCCTCGTGCTGTGGGCTCGCCGTTGGGGTTTAAGGGGCTCCCCGCAGCACGATGACGGACACCGCAGGTGGGGCCCCCAAACCCTAAACCCTAAACCCTAAACCCTAGCGTGTGAGACCAGACTCGTCATGCGCGGCTTCTCGTTGCTAAGTGTCCAAACCCTAAACCCTAAACCCTAAACCCTGGCGTGTGAACCCAAGTCGCCGTACGCGGCGTCTCGCGTCGAAGAGCCCAAACCCTAAATCCCAAACCCTAAACCCTAAACCCTAAACCCTAGCTTGTTGCGAACTGCGCAGGCCTTAACAAATATAAGCTGGTGTTTTTAGGGGAGCAGGCGGTGGGCAAGACTTCCATCATAACGCGGTTTATGTACGACACTTTCGACAACAACTACCAGGCGAGAAACCCTAAACCCTAAACCCTAAACCCTAAACCCTAGGCGCTGTTGCGGGCCCTCAGCCCTCCCTTCTGCAGCGCGCTGCGGCGGCTGCGCAGCTCGCTCCGCCGGCGCTCCGGGCGCCGCCCTCAGGGTTTAGGGTTTAGGGTTTAGGGTTTAGGGTTTAGGTTTTGCTTGCAGGCAACAATTGGAATTGACTTTTTGTCGAAAACCCTTTACCTCGAAGACCGCACTGTGCGGCTGCAGCTGTGGGACACAGCCGGCCAAGAAAGGTTTAGGTCTTTGATTCCTTCTTACATTCGAGACAGCAGTGCTGCAGTGGTGGTTTACGACATCACGAGTGAGGGTTTAGGGTTTAGGGTTTAGGGTTTAGGGTTTAGGGTTTGGGGCGCGGGGCGTAGGGTTTGGGGTGGGGTTTAGGGTTTGGGACCAAGAGAGGTTTAGGTCTTTGATTCCTTCTTACATTCGAGACAGCAGTGCTGCAGTGGTGGTTTACGACATCACGAGTGAGGGTTTAGGGTTTAGGGTTTAGGGTTTAG